GCTTGCTGTGGTCTTTCCACTTGCGTGTATTAGTTATAAAAGAACAAAGAGAAACAGACCAGACATTTCTTTCTATTATTTCTTCTTTTCTCTTCCAAATCATTTTTAAAAATGTGCCATAGGCTTGAACGCTTATTTTCTGTGCCCTTCATTTGTATAAACAACTTAATAAGTAATTTATTAATTAATCTAATAAAGCCATAGTTTATAGTTATATTTGAGCCAGCAGACTGTGTGGTTTGAGCAAGCCCTCCAAACAAGGATTGCAAGCTAGGATGAAATTATAATTTGAAGTCATGATTTGGAGGGCTCAATCAAACCATAATTCTATCACCCATTTCTGTCCTCTTTTACGTCTGCTTTTTGTGTTAACTGCTTGAGGAAATTCATCTGCTATCCAATGAGGTTTTTCTTTCCTTTTGGCTGCAGATAGTGTCTTTTTGCATTCTTCCTCGCCCCTACCTTCAGAATTCTTCTGGCTTCCAGTTATCAGGCTTAATTGTGGAAATCTATTTTTCCTCATTATCTTTACATTCTAAAGTGAAGTTCATCAGGTTGTATTTTGGCACAATGATTGATTAATGTTCTTCTTTAGCTTTATACTGATTTTTGATACTAGGAGTCCTCAGTCTTTGCCACAATCTGCTCTTGTTCTTGTTTTGCAGAAAACATTAAGCTTTTCCATGGATTCACAAAACTCAGTCAGTTGCTCTCCTGCTTCATTTCTTGATCCTAGGCCAAATTCTCTAATGATGTTTAATTTGGTTCTGTTTCGTACTTTTGCATTGCAAAACCACCATGGCAATACCTTTCTGCAGTGGTGGGATTGCGTGCTGTTGTGAGGCAATAGGCCATGCTGACAGTAGCAGTGCTGCTGGTAAGGCCTAACATGTAAGAAAGGCTTTTGCTGAGGAGTCAGACAAAATGTGACAAACAGCTACTGCACAGCAGCAATAGCAAGGAGTGACACTGGAGAAAGATCTCTCAGAGACAATGGTAGTGGCATCATAGCAAAAACTTGTGAATACTGCACAGAAAAAGGTAGTGGTAAACCACTTCTGAAGCTTTTTACCTTGAAAATCCTATGATGAGACAATCTGAAATGAAACAAGAGATTGGGCCAGGACTCCCAGATTGGAAGGCACAAAGCAAACTACTGGAGAAGAGCAGAGGATAAGTACATGTAGTGCTGTTGCTGATGATACAATTGGACTCAAGCCAAAAGAACATTCAGCTGTTGATGTGCTCAGAGGTGAAAGGAATGTCCAAAGCTGCACAACACATATTATAGGAACTTTGAATGTGAGAAGCATCAATCAGGGGAAGCTAGGCATTGCAAAACGAGAAATGGAGCATCTAAGCATTGCAATACTTGTGGTGAGTGAGCTAAAGTAGACAGGAATAGAATATTTTCAGTCAGATAATTACTGAGCATTGAAAGGATATACAGTTGGCCCTCTGTATCCACATATGTATGTATTCAACCATCCATGGCTTGAAAATATTTTTAAAATATATAATTTCCAAAAAGCAAACCCTGATTTTGCCATTTTATATAAGGGGCATCATTTTACTATGCTATTGTATATAATGGAACTTAAGCATCCACAGATTTTGGCATCCAAGAGGGTCCTGGAATCAAATCCTAGTGGATACCAAGGGCCCACTGTAATGCCAAGTTTGACTGAATAATAATATCAATAAGACTTCATGGAAAACCCATAAATATAACCATAATTCAAGTTTATGCTCTAACTACAGAAGAAGAATAGGAAGAAATTGAAAAATTATATGCTGGAGTCCAGTAGGTAGTTGATAATACACCAAAACCATGTTGGTAATAATGGGCAATTGGAATGAATGGAGGTAAGACTCTTTAAATCAGGGATTTTCTAGATTAGGCTTTTATGACATAATCACCCTGCCTCACACATGGAAATTTACTGAAAATCCATTATGGCAATCCCATGAATTTCAGCTGTAACCACCCATTTCTACCCAATGCTTCACTTATATTTGTTTTTACTATAGAAAATATGTTACTAGAGAAAGATGGAATAACTGGATTAGTTTTGATTAGTAGTGTTAATCTAATAGCTCTCTGTCTACAAATATCCTTTGTAGGACATGTGTTTATTCTCTAAAACATACTGAATAGTTGAATAACAAAGGCTCCTGCTAGCTGTAATGGACTCTTTGCATTTCCAATCACAGGTTAATTAATTTTATGAAGAACTACTACAGTTTCCAAGAGCATAGCAAGGTTTAGCTAATCTGATTTTATGTTACTCTAAAAACTTCTTCAAAATCACAAAAAACCCTAACTATGGGCTGGCCTGGGGGTGGAGTTGGGATTGGGCAGCTGCATGCCAGCCGCCCCAACTCCATCCCGATGCTGTCCTGACGCTGCACACCCATTTACGTGGCATGCAGCATTAGGACGCCCTCCTGGCACAGCGTATAGACACGCTTGTCCTGGAAAGCCAGCAGCAGTGTAACTGTAGTGTAACTGATTTGAGTGTTGGACTAGGACTCTGGGAGACCAGGGGTTGGATCCCTACTTGGCCATGGAAACTCATTGGATGATGTTGGGCAAGACACGTTCTCCCAGATTCAGAGGAGGACAATGACAACCCCCTTCTGAACAAATCTTGCCAAGGAACCCCATGATAGGTTCACCTTAGGGTCACTATAAATTGGAAATGACTTGAAGGCCCATGACAACAAAGCTCTAAGCTGCATGGTTATTTTATTCACTCTGAGTTTAATTTAATTTTTATTTTTGGTATTTTGTCTGCCACAGTTCAGGCAAACATTTTTCAATGTTAAAATGAGGATATTTACTCAAGACTGTCCTGTGACTTGCTTTCAAATAAAATAATTTTTAACAAGCAGTCAAGCTTAGCCTACATATCTTGCATTTGTTTTAGAGGAAATAACTGGTCTCACACACCCAAGTGCTTTGTTAGATTGAGCAGTTCAGCGTCTTATATTTCCACCACACCTGTAGAATTTGTGCTAATCATTCAAACACACTTTAAAAGGCTGCTTAGCCTTGAAGTATTGGTTCATTCATTGAATCAGAGAAATAGGAAAAGACATTTCATGAAGCAAGGAAGGACAGTCATCATTGCAGCCATGGTGAATGCATTTGTTGATTGCTGATTATAGTGACTGAAAACAACTGCTTTTTTAATTGCAAGTTACTTTTTATATCTTGGCACAGGAGAATATAAGGCCTGTACATACTGCACACATACATTAATGTAATAGCTATGTTTTACCCCCAATATACTTTCAGAATCTCTGAAGAATTATTGGTGTTTTCACAAAACTTAATTTGTTTGTTGGGTTAGCTGTGCTATTTGGATGTGTTTGAAGCAGGGTTATTTTAATAGGCCTCTGTTGAATGTAGACACACACAAACACACACACACTATGTGGTATTGTCCTCCATTAATTTATATAATGTTTTTCTACAATATTTTACTCAAAGCAGCTAATAATTCAATACATTTTATTCAAAGCAGCAAATAATTCAGTACATTTTTGGTAAAATGTATGTATTGTAAATATCCAGGTAAATAAAAAATGTGAGAATATTGATGAATGTGCACTATGTTGTATTACTTCATGCTGCCTTTTATCATGATGTTTTCACATTGTTTTTCTGCTAGTTTTATATTGCTTTCCAGCCTATTGGCAATTTTTTCTATTAAAATAAAATACACATATTTCATTATATTCAAGATGAAACAATTTTTAAAATATCAAATATGGGAGAAATCAGAACTGACAGACTGCTGCCACCTCATTTTTTCTGAGAGACTCCTCTTTAACATCAGCATGGCTTGGGGGTATAATACGTACCTGTACTTGGTACAGGTGACAAAAATATTAGTTTCAGTTTGTTTTTGAAGAATTTTAATAAAAATCATAAATTTCTTCATAACTGGAACAGAAAGAACTTGATGTTAAAAAAATCTGAATGTGCAAGAAAGTGGAACTGATGTGTGTTCCAATTTTTATAAAGCTCACAGACCTGTGCCAAAAGGAAACATACTAATAAATAGAAGCAAAATTACCCTTTAAAAACTTCCCTTTCCCCATGTTCTACTTATTTTTCAGTTTAACTGGGAACTTTTGATCTACTATCAACTCTTAAGATGTTTTCCAACCCCAAGGAGCACAGAGAAAGCGATGTTAGTAGGAAAGGATTAATGCATTTATTTTTAATAAGCTAGGGGAAAAAATCTAATTTAATTCCATTTACATTAGAAAGAAAAAAAATTAAGTCTTATGTTTATGTTAAATTGCCATTTAACTTTAAGTTATGGTAAATATCTGCACTAAAACCCTTCTATAGAATGAAGCTGAAAAATAGTATCCATGATTATTCCTGATTTCTTAATTTACTACTAACTCCAATATGCATCCCACTAAAATTTCTAGGGCTTCAAAATTCAGTTTCCTAGGACAAATGAAGAGTCTGTATTTGGTCTCTGGTGTAGAACAGATGAAGATCACATGGATACAAAGAAGCTTCCTTCCAAATACAGCTTACCAGTTTCAAATCTTTTAACCTTAGACTTACCTAAACTAACATAAACTTTGTAGGCTGTTTAGCTCTGTCCCTCATTTAATTAATAATGTAATTCTGGAATTAAATTGAAATCCAAGCTTAAATTAACTAGTTTAGGTGATAAATAATTTTAATTCGGTTGCCATTTTTGTTAGAAAATGTCTAATTTTATTGATAACTTAACTGATTTTACTATTTAGTTCCTGTCCCTGCATAAGCATATCTGTTAAAAGAAAGTTCTACAGAGGGAAAAATCAATTTCCAAGTGAGTATTTTTAGGATCTTAGTGTAAGAATATATAATTAATATATTCTTACATCATCAGTTTTCTGGAAACATCAGTTGCTCATTGTGAGGACTCTTTCTTCATATTTAAGCCAATTTTACCACAATTGCCTTAGTCTAGAGAAACAAGAGAGCCAGTGTGGTGCCGTGGTTTGACTGTTGGACTACAACTCTACAGATCAGGGTTCAAATCCCCACTCAGCCATAGAAACCCACTGGGTGACTTTGAGTGGGTCACACACTCTCAGCCCCAGAAAAAAGTGATAGGGTAGTCTTAAGGTCACCATAAGTCAAAAACAATTTGAAGGTACACAGTAAAAACAACAAGAGAAACTAAATGCTGTGAATGTAGCATATACTGATTTCAGTAAGACCTTTGACAAGGTCCTCCATGATATCCTTGCAAAAAAGCTAGGAAAATATGCACTAGACAATGTGGCCATTAGGTGGATTTGTAATTGGTTAACTGACAGAAGCCAAAGGGTACTGAACAATGGGTCCTCCTTCTTCTCCTGGAGAAATGTGGTTCCACAGGGTTCTGTCCTGGACCCAATGTTATTTGACATCTTTATCAATGACTTTGGGGCTGTACAGACTGCCCAAAAGGGGTGGTGGCAAGCTGCCCCTTTGCTTGCTGGATCAGGGCCACAGCAACCACACACCAACCCCCTCTCTGCCCCCAGGCTGGCCTAAAGTGCTGGCCTGTTCAGCCTCTTTGATCATGGAATAGATCATGCTTATCAAATTTGCAGATTGCACTAAATTAGAAGGGGTAGCTAATACCCCAGAGGACAGGATGAGAATTCAAAATGACCTAACAGATTAGAAAGTTGGGGCCAATCTGCCAAAATGTATTTCAACAGGGAGAAATGTAGGATGCTACATTTGGGAAGTAAAAATTAAATGAATAGATAATAATAATAATAATAATAATAATAATAATAATAATAATAATAATAATATTTATTTAATACCCCGCCCCTCTGAGAACAATCGGGGCGGTTTACATCATAAAAAATCATCACATAACAATTTAAGAACAATTCACCCTCCCCCCTTAAAAAGTTATTAAACCAATTACAATTAAAACAAATTATAAAGGAGGTAAATTCCTCCATAAAATCACATACAAACCATAACAAAGAAGAGAAGTGCAGGCAGGAGTAAGTATACTGGCTCATAAGAAGATAGGATGGGGAACACATGGCTTGATGGCAGTACATGCAAAAAAGATATAGGAAACTTAGGGCATCTACAGACAACCCATTTCAGGCGGCTCTGGGCCACCCCTGCTAGCGGCGGATAAGGGCTACAGCAATCCCACACTGTGCCCCAATCCTCCCTTTTGCCGCCCCCCAAAGAGTGGCAAAATGCTGCTCCTTTTAGGGGCGGCAAAAGGTCGCCTTAAGAGCTGGAACCACTACACTTCTGCACCCTTTTGATGCAGCGTGTGTACATGCTGCACCAGGAGAGTGTCCTGACGCCATGCATCATGTAAATGGGTGCACAGTGTCAGGACAGCGTCAGGATGGAGTTGGAGCAACTGATGTGCGGCTGCTCCACCCCAACTCCATCCCCAGGCCAGCCCTTTAGGCCAGTCTGCAATACCCCTTAGTGGACCACAGGCTGAACGTGAGTCAGCATGTGGTGATGCAGCAGCTAAGAAAGCCAATGCAATTCTACAGAATAGTGTCTAGATTAAGGGAAGTAATAGTACCATTCTATTCTGCTTTGGTCAGACCTCACCTCTAATATTCTGTCCAATTCTGGTCACCACAATTCAAGAAGGATGTGGACAAGCTGGAGCATGTCCAGAGGAAGGTGATCAAAATGGTGTAAGCATTAGAAATCATATCCTATGAGGAGTTTAGTCTGGGGAAGAGAAGGTCAAGAGGTGACATGAGAGCCATGCTTAAATATTTGAAGGGATGCCATTTTGAAAATACATTGGAAATCAACAATACTGCAGGAGTTCAAAAACATGAAGTTGTATGTAAGAACATAGGAAGCCATGTTATACTGAATGAGACAATTGGCCCATCTAGCCTAGATGAGTAGCAGTGATTCTCCAGGGTTTCAGGCAGCATTCTTTCCTAGTCATGCCCAGAGATCTTTGGTATTCTATGGTAGTCTCCATTCTAGTACTGATCCAGCCTAACTAGGCTTCCAAAATTAGATCTGTTCAGGGTAATATCTGTAATATGAACACAATTGAAATAATTATGGTTAGCTCTTTTGTGAATTTGAAGAAATATCTTACATCATTTTGTATCAGTATGTCCCTTCATGTCTCTTGTTCTCTTATGGTGACCCCAGAATTTCATAGGTTTTCTTAGGCAAGGACTACTCAGAGGTGGTTTTGCCAGTTCCTTCCTCTGAAATACAGCCTACAGCACCTGATATTCATTTGGGGTATCCCATTCAAGTATTAACCAGGGCTGACCCTACTTGCCCTCCAAGTTCAGACAGGATATGGTGCCTTTAGGGTATTTTAAGTTTAGAGTGACATAAATTCAGAATAAATGTGTTGTGGTCTTTACTGCCATGTTTCTTTAAGGAAAATGAAAGACATGTCCTAATAATGAATTAACATAAAATGTAAGAATTCTGTTTCATATATTTTGCATTTTGTTTTAAATGATTATAAGAAAAACGAAAACCTTATTTTATTTTTTTTAATCCCAAAAGGATTGGTGCCTTGTATTATGAAATGTACTTTCATGCAATTTTCTATTCTAGAAAATCTAATTGGATTCAAGGAGAAGCAGAGATGCACTTCAAATATAACTTTAAAATAGGAATATTAGTAAGTGCAGGCTTTTTGTAATGGAGGTAGCATTTTTTTAAAGTATGGTCATTAAAATAATATTTTCCATGTAAAGGAAGGACATGGGATAAAAGTACCAAGAAATAGTTTTTTTGTGGGTTTTTTCGGGCTGTGTGGCCATGTTCTAGA